TTGCACATTGAAAAGTAGCAACATCAGCATTACTGTCTCTATTAAAAAACATTTATGCAAAATATATTATTGGTTTTATCAAAATAATGTGACTTTTCTTTTTCTTTTATAGGCATACAATTTGTATATGGCTGGCAGACAACTTTGCTCAAGAAGGTATAAAGAATTTGCAAATCTTCATAATAGACTCAAAAGAGAGTTCCCCGATTTTAATTTCCCCAAAATGCCGGGCAAATGGCCGCTGAAGCTTTCTGAACAACAGCTAGATGCTAGGAGAAGAGGACTCGAGCAATATGTCGAAAAAGGTAATAAGATGTGAAAATAATTTTCTGTCCATTTTGCTTTCCTGGCAATTTTCTCTCTCTCTCTCTCTCTCTCTCTCTCTCTCTCTCTCTCTCTCCATACACAATCACTTTTCAGTCTTTGCCCAATAATATCTACCTGTGGTGATAGCCATGTTGACATTACCAGAACAAGACATGTACATTCTGAAACAAATTGCGTTTATTTCCTTTACTATTTCCTTAGGGATCTCACAGGTGAACCGTAATATCCTCTCAATTCTTAATACTGCATGATGATAAATAGAGTTCAATCATGCAGCAGAAAATTTGTCCACATGCAACTTGTTATGAAGACTACGTATTTGATGCTAAATGCCTCTGGTTCACAGTTATAGTAAAACAGAGAATGGACACAAGCATTGATAAGTTTCAACAAAATAAAATGTGGAAATGTTCAGAACCAATAATATCAGTGTAATAAATTTGCTTGTTATAATNCCGTATTAAAAATTTACCAATCTTTCTATGCTTGGGTATAAAGATAGCCTAGGACAACCCAAAACTGTATTGGTGAATTAAAAATGTTTGAAAAGCCATTAATAGTAACTGTACAGAAACATATTTCTATACTAGTACACTATTTCTCATTCTTGCACTTTGTTGGGCAGTAAGTTTCTTATGTAGTTAAGGTTCTTATATACTTATTTTAACTGTTATAATGAATATGAATGGCTTTTTTATTAAAAAAAGTTATTGTACTCATTCTTTGTGAAGTATATATTATCATTAACATTGCATCAAGTTAGAATGTTAAGGTCAGGTAACTGATATGTGTTTCATTTTCAGGCTTTTACATTTAACATTGTTGTCTTAATATTTGCTTAAATTGGAATTTTGGGTTGTTGTCGTGTCTTGTTTCATTTTGTATAATAACTGAAAGCATGAAAACTGATTGAGAAATTACTGTAAATTTCTCTAGGAAATTTTGATATATAAAATATATTTCAGAATATTATTTGAATATGTCCTTAATATTAGCAATAGGCATGTTGTTAATTCTTTTCAGTTTTTTTTTTAAATTTGATATTCATGATATTTTTTATATATGTAGTTGTGGTAAGATATCAAAGAAATTTTATATTGAATGTTTTACAAATGCTCATTTGCAAATTATAAGTTTCAGCTGAGATAAGATGTATGAGTATATATATATATGATGTGAGTCACAAAGTTGCATGTCAGTAGGCAGTATATTATATTGGTACCAGTTCAATATTCCCATTTTTAAGAAAATGATAGTGTCTGTCACTGGTATCAGTGATGAGAATGCAAACTGTATGCAACTGGATTATGAAATACACAAAAGCTCTAATAATATGAATTAAGTTAACAAAGTCATTGTAAATTGGTCTCTTCCTCAAGTTTTCTTTGGGAGGATTCTTTTCACAAATATTTTAAATTTTGGTGTGTAGTTTTGACCCTTTGATTTGATTCTCATTCAATACTGACATCATGTTTGTCTACAAAATGTTCCTATGAATAGTTATCCTCTTTGCGGGGTTTTTATAAATGTTTTTAAATGTGGTTTGTCTGCATTGTCTGTCTAATTTACATTTTCTGACATTTTCACATTACATTGCTGAGGTCTGCTGTTCTCATATTGCCATTTAAGGTTTGTATTGTTTTATAGAGACTTGTTGATCTTATGGTCAATGACAACTTGTTTTCTGAACAAAGGAGTATGGATGTATACTAGTAGTTTTACTGGCTATGCTTCTTTGGACTGTTTCTAGATTTTATACTTGGTAATTATTTGATTTGAACAACATTTATTAATAGCCCCCCCCCCTTCTGAAAACACACACACAAATGATTTGTAGGCAATACTTAAGAATGTTGATTCAAAAGTTATTCAGTTTTGTGTAAGAAAGTAAACTGTAATGAAGATATAGAACAAGTGAAAAATTAAATACTAGAAAAACAAGGCCTTTGAAAGTTTTAAGTTATCTCTGTATTTTCATTGTGTTTCTAAGTTATATTCCTAAAATTCCAGAGGGCTGTGGATCTTACATTTCAATTACTAGTACTATTTTATTTCAACATCCTGTTACAGACATTACATAGTTAATGACTATGTGGTCTTTGAACTATAGAACAGGGTTAACATTTTCCTGATGTTGAAATATTGTGGCTTAGTTTTGTAAAGTATATTTTTAAAATCAACACTTTTTCTTGCTTTTGGCAGACAGTCATTTCTTTATATGATTCCTTCAGTCTTTTGAGTGATTATTTTCTGAGCAAATGATTTAGTCTATCCTATCATTGTTTTCTACTGCAATAGGGAGAGAATTGTTCAATTGTTTTATTTATGCAATGTGCTTTTACGAAGGAAGCATGGCCTACATACAGCAAAGAAACATTTTTTAAGGGACTGTTAACAAATGATGATATAATTTTTGAATTTAGATACCATAGCATAAACTTTTTTATGCATCTGTTTGCTATTCATCTTCATTAGATTTAATCAATGGCTGCTTGCAGAACCAAACCAAATCTTTGAATGAAACTGATGATAAATACTTTAAAAAGAATATTGCATTTTTCACAGACTGCAGATGTAAATAACCTCTTGCATCTTGGGAATATTTAGTGTGCTGCCATGGGCCAGGCAATTTTTTTTCACAGAAAAAAAGGTTATCACTTCAAGAAGTAAATACTTGATCACAGCATTTCACGAAATGCAGTCCCTAAGATAATGACTGATTCAGCACTATGAAGAGAGGTCATATTACAGAACTTTTATTTTATTATTAAAATAGCATTTTTTTTATTATTTGCAACTGTCTGGTTAGTAAATACTGTAGGCACAATTCATTTTAGAAGTTTACAAGCAACCGTAGGTACTAACACATACAGACTTAATTTTTTAAAACTTTATACAGTACCTGATTGATTGCAGTAAAGTGAATGTAAGGCATTTCATTGTTATCACGCATAGTGCTACAGCATAATCTTTGCCTTTAGCAGCAGGTGGATAACAGAGACATTTGTCTGTGCTTAACACAATGTTAGCCTGTCATTGTTTCATATTATCCTTTATCTCTAATTTGTCAGCTAATTTGTCAAAGATGAACACATCAAACTTCACTTGTAGAAATAGGACAGCTTAGATTAGTCGCATGTCATGTCATGTCAACCCAAGCTTGAACTTCGAAATTAGATATGCCATAATTAACAGGAAAAAAAAGACTGAGAAGCATATAATGACAGTTACTGTTATTTCCCTGTAATTTCATCAGCACTTTTTTTATATTAAGATAAATTACCAGGTAATATTTTAAGGATTAGTTAATTTGCTATTTAATAATAATTATTATTTGCTTTTTCTTTGTTCTATTTATTGACATCATTTATAATGTGTAACCAATACAATTAGAATTTTTTATGTCAGATTGAAATTAACTTACCATTTTGAGAGACATTAGAATAAGTGACAACTTACAACATAAATTTTAGAATAAGCTTGAATTTTTTTGAGTTTATGGGCATGCAGACATTTTGGCAGATAATCAAGAGAAGGGCTGGTGCTCAGATTTTTGAGATATTTTATTGACAAAAAATCTCAATTGTGTTGCCTGTGATGTGAAAACTATCCTATCAGTTGATGTTTCTATTGGAGGTGCATTTTTCATGGGAATATCATGTACTGGAATGTTACTTTTGGTTTACTTTTTTCTTTGACATATTTAAAGTGAAAAGATTTTGATCATTAATAAGGGCTTTATATCAAATGGTGAGTGTGTTTGGGGGGGGGGGCTAATTACTTAATTACCATTATGAGAAATTAAATAAACGAGTGTCAACATTAGTTTTTGAGAAGTAAATCACAAAATAAAACGAAATGGACTTTTTGAAAGAATAGCATAATAACAGCTATTGCAACAGAACAGGATCTAAGAGACCCTTCCCACAGATATTTAGATCGATTTATCCCCTTGGGGAGTCTCACGAGATTGCTGTCATCTTAATCGGCTTAAATGTCTGTCCTGCCTACTAAAAGCTGTAAGGGGGTAATTAACTTTTGTGCACCTTCGGCTCCCAGAAGCTGACAGCAATTTAGTGTGAATCCCCAGGGAGTTAGGTCAGTCCAGATGGATCGATCTAAATCTGTGGGAACCCAGTCAAAGCTACATGGAGAAGTATCTCCACCAGTACTTTGATACTCAGGGTGACTTTGCTTTTGTATTCTTTTAGCTTGTTTATCAGTGATTGTTGCATAGTATGAAATATGTCATGATCATTTATTAGTTGCCGGTTAGCATACTGACAATGTTAAATCTACACTGAAAAATCCATCCATGCACATAACAGATGTAATATGGGTTCTGAAGCCTTTTTTGTTACCATGTTACCAAGAATCTCTGTGTAGTAGTGAATTTCTGTCACTACATTGTCTATACATATGCCTGTTATCAATTTTTGCAATACACAAAAACAGTCAACATGATATGTTTGTTAAGTTAAAAACAATGGTAAACAAGTCAAAATGGCTCCAGAAATATTTTTATGGGGTTGCATTAACCATCTTAAAAGGGTGGTCTTAACAATGCATTTTCACTCTCATTGGTTTCAATGTCAGTTACATTTTATTTTGGGTCCATAGTTCGTAAAATGTTCAACTCAAGGAACAAAACTGCAAGAAAGAAATTATGTAGNCCTATAGGGACATCAGAAATGGAATGTGTGTGTGTTATTTTCATAAATCAAGATCAAAGTCCCTTTCTTACTCCATTGTTACTTAAGACATTGAAAATCAGTTTAAATGTGTTTAATTACCTCTTGTCAATTAAGTTGAAAGAAGGCACTGAAATTTGGTTGTCTGTCACTGCATAGTTCTATCTGTCTGTCTTTCTGGCTGTCTTATCTCTTACAATTTTCAGTCTTTTACAACAAAATACACACACATACAGACACACACATGGTGTGAATGTGTGTGTATCAAGTTAAAATATACCATGGAAATTTCCCCTCTTATGATACAGTGAAAGGGAGGGCAGGTTCACCTTCATTGATAGTTGTAGTTTGATTTCACTGTATATGATATGTTTTTGTTTTTATTTATTATTTTTCTTTTATGCTAGAAATGGTGAATCTGTAGAAGGATCAACACACAAACAGGTTGTAGACCTTATCAAATCAGGAGGAGATTCATTAACATTGACAGGTAGATTTACATATGTATGGATTACATGCTATATTGCTATAATTTTTTGTTATCTAGATCACATTAGTTTGCATGCCTGATGCTATGTGTCCTTCACTTGGCATTTGTTGTTAAAGATAATTGATATGTGATATATAATGGTGATATAGGTTATCACTGTCTTGTTTCCTAATTTAAATGATGTATTAATTTGTTGTATTTTGTGAGCGATATAAAGATGCTACAAATTGTGCACATTTAATGATTTTTGTAAAATGATTTTAAATGAGGAATGAAGTTTAAACGGACATACAAAACAGTTTTAGTTAAAAGTGATATACAAAAACAGCACTTTCACAACATCAAACACTCCAAATAAACAAGATATATATAGAAGTTTTTCAGTGCCCTCACTATTGTTTGTGATATAAGTCAGTGGAGAACAGCATCATACCAATATGAATAGATTGATATCAGAATATAGTGAAATAATTTGAATATTTTAATTCAGTTATTTCAGTCCCAGAGCAGGTAGCAGAAAAATTGGAACCAAGCGATGAATCCTCAGGACATTCTCTGATCGACTACTCAGAAAAACGATCACTTCCAATATCAATTCCTGATTATAACTACTCAGAAAGTAATGGAGAAAGATATGTGGTAAGTTTTTTCTTAATCTTTCTTTTTTTTCTCTCTTTCTTTCACTTGGCTCACCATGAAGAAAGAATGATGTATGTATTGAATTATAATACATCTGGATAAATCTTTGTCAGGTACCTTATAAATTTTTCCAAATTTCCTATACTTGTGGATATCAATTTTATTGAGTTTTACTTGAAAAGTCAAAGATAATTGAAATCTTATGAATGCAGCTCTTGAAGGATTGCTTACATCAGTCAGGAAAAGAAGGTATGTAAAGGGAGTCTTGGCAGTAGGAGCTAAATAAAACGTATTGATTTGTTGTAATGTGTTCAGTTTATGATTTTAAGCAAAACGAATTGGCAAAATTTCAGGGAAAACTTTATCTTTGCTATTTGAGTGTCTACATCACCAAGACCCTTTTTAACACCATAGCACAATATAAAACCTGATCAAAGAAGGCATGGTTGGTTTTTAAAACTAGGTTAACATTTTTCCAATTTCTAGCAAAATTACACTTAACTTAATTATAATGACAAAAAAGTGACTGCGGTAGGTAGGAGCGATTTAATTACTCGTTTTTGAAACTGCCTTGATGATTCTTAGAAAAAGGTGTATAATTTCTTGGAAAATAGTCTAAACATAGGAAAAGTAATGGAAAAATTGTAAAGCACTTATCTCTGAAAATGTATATCTGAAATTGAAGATTGCTGTGGTAAAGGTGAACTAAGTCATGGAATTGAGGGGATTCAAACCTGGCATTTTGGCAATTTGTCTTGGTAATGTTATGTTGTGAGTTAGGGAAGTGAGTTAGAGAAAAGGAACACATCTTCTTCTGTTGTAAATGGATTCAGAATCCCAGAGGAAGCAAACATTATTGCATCCCTTCCCCTATTATTAGATAAAATAAAAAAAATAAGCCATATCATGAAAAAGATTATTCTTAGCTTTTCCCAGAGACATAATTTTCTAAAGAAAAAAAAACTTGAAATGGAAAGGGATTTTGGAAACTAGAAGCAAGGACCGTTAGTATGGCAATTTCTTTCTGGGATTTATTCTGAAAAGTAGTAAATCTTCAGGACTATTCATGAGTCAGATGGATGTTTTGAGAGCCAAAAGTATCATTGGCCTAGGCTCCCCTGGACCCCATGTGATATTTTCAGATTTTTTCACTTCTCACCAGTCTCATCCCTGACTATTGGAAATTATGAGGATTGTTTAATTAGAAGTTTATGTGTACAAATAATGTTGCACATTGAAAAGTAGCAACATCAGCATTACTGTCTCTATTAAAAAAACATTTATGCAAAATATATTATTGGTTTTATCAAATTAATGTGACTTTTCTTTTTCTTTTATAGGCATACAATTTGTATATGGCTGGCAGACAACTTTGCTCAAGAAGGTATAAAGAATTTGCAAATCTTCATAATAGACTCAAAAGAGAGTTCCCCGATTTTAATTTCCCCAAAATGCCGGGCAAATGGCCGCTGAAGCTTTCTGAACAACAGCTAGATGCTAGGAGAAGAGGACTGGAGCAATATGTTGAAAAAGGTAATAAGATGTGAAAATAATTTTCTGTCCATTTTGCTTTCCTGGCAATTTTCTCTCTCTCTCTCTCTCTCTCTCTCTCTCTCTCTCTCTCTCTCTCATACACAATCACTTTTCAGTCTTTGCCCAATAATATCTACCTGTGGTGATAGCCATGTTGACATTACCAGAACAAGACATGTACATTCTGAAACAAATTGCGTTTATTTCCTTTACTATTTCCTTAGGGATCTCACAGGTGAACCGTAATATCCTCTCAATTCTTAATACTGCATGATGATAAATAGAGTTCAATCATGCAGCAGAAAATTTGTCCACATGCAACTTGTTATGAAGACTACGTATTTGATGCTAAATGCCTCTGGTTCACAGTTATAGTAAAATAGAGAATGGACACAAGCTTTGATAAGTTTCAACAAAATAAATTGTAGAAATGTGCAGAACCAATAATATCAGTGTAATAAATTTGTTTGTTACAGTTATTTGTTTGTCTTTCTCAGTCACGGCAGTCCGTGTTATAGGTGAAAGTGATATTATGCAAGAATTTTTGGCCCCTGACAGTGAGCAGGTATGTACATGTGTAAATATGTTTAAAATGTTGTAAATGAGTCAACACAAGATACTGATTCAGAACTAACTATATTGATTATTTCCTGTAATGCAGTTAAGACATTTCAACAGCAAAAAAGCATCTTGCAGCATAAGCACCAAAACCAGTCGCACCCTGAATGTTCTTTTTTTTCATATGCAGCTATTAGGGGTATTTATGTGCATTTGTGACTATTACAGAGTGCATAGCCATCTACAAATACTCATAACAGAATCAACTGATAGTTGACTGTGTTGCTTTTTGCATAGTCCACGTTTGACCTCTATGTGAAGCATTGCAATCATCTTCTTTTGGCCTGTGGTAAAATTGACCAATTTTGCTTTGCTTTAATGTTTGTTTACACCATGATTTTTAACTAAAAATAGCACAACTCCTGTTATCTGCTGGTCACATTATAAAAAGGTTCCCAAATCTGATGACACCTTTTGGGTCAGTTTCTTTTCTGAATTTCTTGCAGTTTGAACTGGACTTACAATGGCACTGATATTTGATTTATACAAGTTTGTCATATATGATTTTTAGGATGGCAGTACTGCAGATGAAGTGGAACTTAAGGTGCTATTACCAGACAGGAAAGTCTTAACAGTTGCAATCAAGAGAAGCAGTGTCACTGATGAAGTTTATGAGGTAATAAATAATCTTATTTGGGGGGTGGGGGGTGGGGGTGTTTGAATCCTTTTGTAGCACAAAGGCATGTTTAAACTTCAGTTACTTGAAAAATATTTATGTGAAAAAAATCATTGTGTATCCAAGTGGAAAATATTGATTTTGTCTGCATGAATGTTTTTCAGCATTAGATATGTGAACTGTGCTTCTGAAGTAGACAGATTAGTTCCCTTAAGAATACAGCAGCTTAAGATTTTAGAAAAGATATAATCATATGGAAGCTCAAGTGAAGAACATTCTGGGAAGAGCTTATATCTATAGCTGAAACCAAAGTAAAAAGGCATTAAATTATCTTGTCTATTAATTAGATTATGGAAAAGTATTGGATAATGAATCAATAATGCAGTCTGACTGTGTGATATGATCTGTATTTGGTTTCAGGCAGTGGTTCGGAAACTAGGAATGACAGATGAAACCGCAAAGTATTTCTATTTATTTGAAATATTGGATGACACATTTGGTGAGAATATTTGCTCTTGCTCTGATATTAATATACTAAAGCATAATGTTTAATGTAAGTAATGTTGACAATAACAATTCTTAGAAAGTACTCTTGTTAACTAAAGAGTTTCATCATATTTGACTTTTTATTTATTTATTTATTTATTTATTTATTTATTTATTTATTTATTACATATATGCAGTTATAAGAAGTAGATCTTTACTTTTATTCGCCATTATCTGACAGTTTTGCTCGAGTCAGATTTGAAATTGATGGCAACTGATGTGTAACAGTTTAATTTGTCTATAATGGCATCGTTCACTGTGTTCATGTTGTCATTGGAACTCCCTAGTTAGCTTGGGACAAGTTAATTGGGTCTTAACTCTAAGGTTTGGAAAAAGTGCTTTTTGACCCAGGACAAATTAATAGCAGTAAAAGTAAATGTCATGTTGCACCTGCTTTGTAACAAGAAAGAAATCATTAAATTAAATCCTCATCAAATCATATAGAATAAAAACTAGACTGAAATCTTAGCCTAAAATTTTAAGAGCAAATATTTGTCTCAGGTTATTTTCAAAAACTGGCCCCAGTGATGGATCAGCAAAGCTTACCCTCCCCCCCCCCCTTCTTCACTGTTCATTTTCTTCACATATTGTGTCCATTACTCTCTCTTAGCATTCGATTTGCTTGTATTGAAAGATATTTTGTATGCAATTTTCATCATTCACTTGATCAACGGCAGCAGAACAGTGTAATTCCCAGCTGATGTCGGTCACATTAAACATGATTTATATACAGTATATGGGAGGGATATGTCCCTTGATTTCCATCTCTCTTTTTATTCTCTGTTTCTTATTGCTCCCTCAAATCAATTCTAATTTTAATTCACTGATTTGGTGTTTAACCTTTGAATGGTCCGTGACGGGCATCCTCATTTTTAAAAGTACCTGTACATTTGGCTTATTCTTCTAAGCACTTCTGCTTTGTCATCTGCATTGGTCATAATGTTTCTGCACCTGACTAAGAGTTGTAGGGGTGAGACAAATTCTAGGTATTGATTGGTCTGTGAAGGTTGTCAATACCCTTTGAAAAGTCTGTAGTGATCCATTTTGGCAAGATATGATGCAAGTGCTCAGGAAGACTGTGTTTCTGTCTGGCATTTCTTCATTGGGGAATTTGATGTTGTTTGGGAGATGCAGGGTATTGCTATCATTCTACTTAGATCGATCCAACTCCACTGGGTCTCTACCTGAATGCAATGAGATTAACATGCCTCCTCATCTTCCTAATGTACATATATACTCACCAGCTTTTATGTATTCTACCCAATGGAAAGAGGAGTCATACTAATCTGTCAATCTGATTGCATTTAGCAAGAGTCCCTGCACAGTTAGATTGACCTAGCTAGAATGATAGTTTCATTGGGAATGGGCCCGTTGATCTTAGTATAAATTCCAGGGGGTTCATGTGAGTCCTCATGACAACAAAAGTACACACTTGCTAAGAACTTCAGGGGCGTAACCAGGCATACGCACGGATGCACTGTGCGTACAATTTTTTGAGCCAACCATGATATTATTCTCCATAAATTCAGTGTATTTTTCACCGAATATAATCGTACCTGGGAATTTTCAAAATCTGTGCGTACAATTTTAAATGGTCTGGTTACGCCCCTGAACTTCACCTGAAAGGGGTTAATAATACCAAGGACAATTGCAATAGCTAATTGCTTTCTAAAATATTGCTGAAGAACTGAAATCCTACTTGGTTTAGTTTGATTTGATTAACAAACATTTTTATAGCCAGAAAGACTGGGCATCTCTTATTTCTTCATTTCAGACCGAAAGCTGCTGTACAGTGATTTCCCCCACAGTTTGTATATACAGAACTACAGTACAGCAGAAGCCACCTGCATTGCGTTAAAAAAATGGGTGTTTACTCTCTCAAGGGAGTTGAGTCTTAGTCATGATGAGATGGCAGTGAATTTCTTTTTTCATCAGGTATTCTACTGTTTCCTAGTGTGTGCGGTGAAGTGTATATTTTTAAATTGAAATTGTAAGAATCTAGTAAATCATCTGAAAGTTGATAAATTCATAGTATTGGTTGAGAGTACCCATCTGTAAAATATAGTTTTTTTACAAGAGAGGGCGCTGGCAGAAAAAGTATCTCAGCACCCTTGTATGATTTCATATAAATGTTATTTTTGGAAGTGGTCTCCCTCAAATAACCTGTTTTCTTTTCTGTTGAAGGCACATGAAGAAGTCAGCAGGGGCACTATCAAATCAAAAGATAAACTTTATGAACTCAAGGCCTTACACCAAGCGAATAAACAGCAGGAGGTATATTAAAACAATGCACAGACATAACAGAAAAGAATCTTTTTAAAAAGCTTTGCATCTCTGCACAGGCATGCATGCGGAAAATTTTGGGTCTGACATAATGTTATTTTAAATAAAAGCCACTTAAATGATTGGTACATTATCTTGCAAGGCTGACACATAACTTTTTGTCAATCCTTTTCAGAACTTGTTACTTTAATGTGGAATTGTTTCCTGCACAGTCCCAATGTGCTTGAATTATAGGTGTGCTCAATAACCGACTCCCACTGTGCTTACCCTTTCAGTATTTGAAGATTGTCCGTCACCTGGATGGCTATGGTGAAGTTGTGTTCCCCCACTGTCCTTGTGATGCTAAAAAGGAAGGACATGTCATAGTCAGATTTTCATTGGAAAACCTGAAGTTACAAGCTTGTCAAGAAGATGGATCACCAGAGGTTTGTAGAAGAGGAGAATTGATTGGAAAAGAAAGAACAGAACTAAGCTTTTTTAGGTCTATTGTTGAGGAGTTTGGTTTGAGGAAAGCCAATCCTTAACCTCTATGTTTTGTGCAAGTTTGTGTTTTGTACACTTATATGCTGCTGAATTTTTTTAATGCATTAAACTAACGAAAGAAATTGTTCTTTTCTAGACTCAAGTCATTGAATTTCCATGGAGCTGCATAAAACAGCATGAGTTTGATGAAGAAGGAATGACATGCAATTTTTATTATGAGAGAGAGGGCAAAAAGGCACGATGGGTGCGAATTCAATCTCCACATGTAAGTTTTTATTTTAAGATGATAGTATTACAGATAAATTTATGTGCTCAAAACTAAGAAAGTAAGAAAGTTTATCTTTCAATAAGTATACTGTTTGCACCAGTGTGGCTTGTTCCTCTCTTTGTGAAACAAACTGGCTGCATAATTTTCATCTCAAAGATGATTTTTAAGTACAAACACTATTAGAGCCTGTGTATATTCTTATCAGGTGTGTGTCTGCCCATGATTTTGGTGCTGTCCTCCTCACCTGGCACTTAAGCTATTACCTCTAATGTTGTGTTTTCATAAATAATCTGGCAACCCATGAGTTGGATAAATACAGAGAAATCATATTTGAGAACAAACACACACATGTGCACATTAATATTCTCTCATTGCTTGGTTGCAATATATGCGTGGTTATTATGGATCTTTTGTATCAATCCTGAATCTTTCTCATATCTCTGGGGAGAATACAACCCAAGCTGCAACATACTTGATGCTGGGAATTATTACTCAACCAAGAAGGATTTCATAATGACCAGGTCTTTGAAACTCAAAAACTTTGAAACTCTTTATTTCATAATGAAAAACTATCCACTGTTATGGCCACTCTCTACATTTTTCTTTTCTTTAGGCCATGTATATGTATGAGTGCTTTGAGAGGATTTTCACAGAACTAGAATGGAATGACACTGAGGTAAGTTGAATCTTTTTATTGTCATGTCTTTTGATGTCCTTACTTAAGTGTCAATATATGATATGCTGTGTAAAGTGTAAACTTGAAAAGTACTCAACAAATAAGATGTAGAAAAGTATGTTAAAAGTAGGAGAAAGGTGTGTTACAGTAGTCAAGTAGAAGTTAATATGCCACAAGCATGAGAACAGCTAGTTTTCTAATTAATCATCATTCAGAAACGGCTCAGAAATTGTTTAGAATTAACTTAAAGATTGACAAAAGGCTAGACTCAATGTGGATATCATTTTTTATGTAGAAGTTCTAATGGTTGGATAGAATGAGAACTCTGCTGGAACACAGGTGAGAAATAAAAATAAACTTCTCTACAAATATTTCCTATAAAAATTGATGAGGCAAGAAATTCAATGAATAATTTCAGATTTCTTTTCACTTTTGTCATGAATTTAATGTTGATTTTTTTCTCTTTCGCAGAGGGACATGCTATCAGATATCCATTGAGAATAGAGCATGGAAGAAATCAAACCGATCCACTAAATACTTTTGTTGTTATACAAAAATATATGCCAAATTGTTCTAAAATTTATTTAATAACTAAAATGTTGTTTTTTCACAAAATGTACTGGGTATTACATATTTGTGTTTTGTCATAAACATGTACATGTATATGCACTCAATTTTGTACAACTATAGTCTGTACGTTCTGCAGGATGGAAATTAATTCAGTCAATGAAAAATTTTTTCCCACAAATCTGAAATCCAGCAAATGAGAATATTTGTTGCCCTATTCACAATTGTTGTACATTTGACAGGACTGTGATTCGATATTAAATATTCAATACCACAAGATTTTGGTATTGTCCTGGAACTTTTTGAAATGTCTGGGAATATGTAGAAAATGTTGCCCTGACCAAAACAGATTTGCAGGTTCACTTGGTAATTTTTCCATATTGGCCCTGATGCCGGTCTTGAAGTTATAATTATTGTAATATTAGTTACACACATATTTTTTTGTCTTTAAGGGATTGAGTTATAAAGTGCATCAGTCTAATCAATATGGTTTACAAATTCTGTCAAATCGAATATATGGTGGTACACCTATGAAGTCCTATATGCTGCGACAAGATATATATTCGCTGCTGATAAGTAAAATTTGCTCTTTACATATTTTACAATCAAATATTTAACAAACATTTAACAGAAAATGAAAAAAATTGTCTTTGTGACAAATGGTTTGGTGAATAAAATGATCATTATGTACAGTGCTGTGTCAGGATACTTTTCTTGTAATTCTATTACAAGAAATTATTGTAAGAAAGGTAATTGTATGTACTTCATTGCCCTGATGTAGTACACTAGGATAAAGGCACACAAGCAGTAGACCTTTAAAGCAAAAAAAAAATAAATAAATAAAATTATATATATATACACACACACACACACACACTTTTCCAGAAAATTTCATAGCTTTTCCCCTTACCACCAAGGTATGACATATTGCCAAAACTATTATCTATCAGCTGATACTCTTTAAAAAAAATTGTAGCCACTCCTGCATTGGAGATGGGGATTGGTCGGTAAGTATAGAATTTTAAAGCTTGAAACGGAGTTCATAGACCATAATTTTCTCAGTGGTCTTGGATAGAATAGACTGCTGATAAGGGGAAAATTGCTGGAATTTTAAAGAAAACTAATTCCATGCTATGTAAAGGTCTATCTTGCATTGTTAGCCTTTAAGATGTTAATAACCATATCAGACTCTTTCCAAAAAGTGATGGTGCATGTCAGTTAATACAATATATTGTACAGAAAACATTACTTATACATTCTTTAAACTGGCATTGCCTAAATGCAAGTTATATGCATATTATTTAGCCCATTGTTTAACATTGTTTTGTTTTAGGTTTAAAAAATAAAAAAGTGGTGTAATGATATGTGAAATTATTTACATTATATGTTGTTCAGAAATCCACTTAGACAAATTTTAAGGAAAGACCTCTTTATTGATATCAGTGAAATATTAATTGCCAAACATTTTGATAGGCTGGAAGTGCAAATATATCAAGTTGCTTTTGCTCACTTCTCAGTATATAAGCTGCAACTGAAAGTGTTTACAAAATGATACACAAAGAAAGACCAACTCCTTCATTATCTGATATTAGAAAACCAGACAGACAAATGACCATAGCTTATTGTATTGGAGCTGTATCATAGTAAGGTTTGTATATTTTGATCTACTCTGCTATGCCAGGTGCATGTTTATATATTATACATTGTATTTCCTAAGCTACATGAAAGTTTCAAGCAATAAATGGTATCCCTAAGACAATCAACTTTGCTGCTACTTTTGTTTTCAATCCAGATTGAGAAAAAAAGGAAAAGCATTGCAGATTTTTACTTGCAAAATGATAAAAAGCGAAAAGAAAGTAAGAACTTTCCGTGTCAGCAGATGATGATAGGGGCACTCCATTGTTGAAATGGCAACCATTAACCAAGGGCATTTCTTTTCCAAAATGCTTCTTTTCCTCTTTTCATAATTAAGAGAAGTTTCATGCACATTTTAAATCCATTTTGGACTCAATTCCATACATAGAATTCTGGCAGTTGTTGGAGCCAAAGCACACAGCTAATATTGAGAATTTAAACTTTATTAGTAAATTTTCAAAATGTGCATTATATGAATAATTGTGATAGTATATATGAATTGGATTTCGAGATGTGATGTCATTTTTAAGAGTTCCTTAATTACTAACAATATATGGCTCTTTAAGTACTCTTATCAATCTTGTTAATTGAACTTGATTGAATGTTAAAAGCTACATGTACTTCTAAAGATATAGTATCAGATATGATAAGAATTTGTCTTCCATTGTTTCCATCAATCTAAATGTAAAATGCCATTTTTTCAAATTATAAAATCATGGAACTTTTCTTTGTAAAACTTACACATCAATGGAGCAGTGACCAAGTTCAGTAAGCACAAATAATACAAGCTTTTTTCTGGTGTATTACGCATTATCATGGACTACATTTACAAACATATATCACGGGGGACACTTGGTCTGAGTTACTTCTCCAGCAGGTAACACAACAGCAGTGATATGTTTTCCAGAGATCAACTACAAAATGACTGATCTTTACGTTTATTTCTCTGGCTGAGAGATCTGGAGTCTCCTAAGACAGCAGGGACAATCCAGCTATCGGTTTGACCGACCAAACTCACTCCGAGCTCTGATCTCCAATCTCTGATCTCTAATACAAAGTTCTTCTCCTTATATACTAATACACACAAAATACATACAGTGATTCCTAAAACAAGTCAGAGATATTGAAGTCAATTAACAGAATTAATACATATTACTAGAGACCTTTAACATAATTAAAGTCAGACTGCTATAAACTCCAACTTGGGGATGAAGCCGTAAATAAAGTTATTCAATCCTTTTAAAACTGAAAACATCCTTTAAAACTTGGTTACAGTTCTTTCCAATGAATAACATACATAAACAGATTCATATGATATCATTATAAAGGAGACATCTGAACAATCTTTACCAAATGTTGATTTAATTTGATTTAAATGTGGAAGTTTCTAAAATGAAGTTTGGCCGTGAAATCACCACTATGACACATACATCTATCATCTTTATGTCTAAAGAACTGTCCCAATTTCCCTCCTAGCCAGTTGAGTTTCACAGACCACACAAGTTGGCCTTTTCATTTCATACTTTAATAAATTTTCACATGTGCAGGTTTCAAAATAAAGTAGCTGGCACAAATCGGAATTGATGCTCAAAAGAAAGTTGGTTGTTCACTGCTAAGCCTTTTACTGACTAGCTGCAATCTTCCTCAAGTCTTCTACATTGATTTCCGGCACTTTAAATGGCACGCTCTTCCACTTTTTTTCCCATTTCTTCTCTCCATTCATATCCACCAACACAAAACTTACTACTTTCAGAACTGGTAATACCACACCTTTGTACAAACACTGAATTCCCCAATCGCTGTCACATTTTTTGCAGTGCAGTTTGCCAGTTTTTTCCATGTTCCCATATTTGTGGCCATGGGGGTGAGGCTTGACTTCCACTCTTGCCATGAATTCTTTATCAAGCACCACATGATGGGATCCTTCGATGACACGGAAATCAAAAGAGAAGCAAGCAAAGACATCGCACTTCAAACATCGCAGTTCGTATTCATCCTCAGTGGCCAATTGTCTTTGAGTGGTCCTCAAAATCTCTCGCTCAAATTTTGCTTCTTTCTGAAATTTGTGGATCTTGCCTCTAAACTCCTGAGGACTCATTTTTTTGACTGCAAGAAGAGCTTTCTTCATCATTATTTCCCTAATTATATTTATTTCTTCTCTTTCAGCAGTGCCTCTCACCCCTGCTAGAAGGACATAGTGGCTACCTTCTGCCCTTCCACGACCTACAATTGTCAATATGTAATATCAAAGTACACTACTATAGTTGATAAACTGAGGCATTTAAAGTTTTTAATGAATACTTTAAAATAAAAAAAGAAAAATATTATATATAAAGAAAAATACTCATAGTGGACAATGCATGCAAATTACATCTTGTTTTAACATCATAAACAGCAAACACATGAAATTAGATTTTTTGAAACAAGCACAAACGATGTTGCCTGTTACTGTAAATCATAGAGCTTGGATTCATTGCTACTTGTACCAGTAACACAAAAACCTTGAATGCCCCCTCTCCCTCTCTGAGAAGATTTCCAAAGTTGCAAAATAATAAGTAATAGAGTACTGCTTTCATAGAGTTTGTGGTGGCAATGCACAAAATATTTTTGTCAATTTTGATGCAATATAACATGATGATTAATAGCACAATCACCACCATCTTTCAATCATCTACTATTCATGTTACTACCACAGATCTACGGCTTCAAGTCAATATGTGAAAAATGAAAAAATATCACCAAAAAAAATGCATAACTTGCAGAAAAAGCATGCAATCAGGCTGGTTTTCCAACTCAATCTGTAATTCAGTCTATAAATCTTTACTGTTAATTTTAGAACATAAGTAACATAATCACTCCTGTAAGTATGAAGACAATAGGCCAAATGGTTTTCCTCAAAATGTGCATATGGTATAATACATGCTGTTAAAAAAACAGAAAAAAAAACATTACTCTTGGAAAAAATGGCCCAATCAAGCTGATTTTCGAACCAACCTGCATTTTATGAATATTTATCAGTTTTGTAAGTTTGAAGACAAAAGTTAAGTTTTCCACTAATCCTGTTATTTCTAAAAATGCACAACAATTGCGACAGCAATGCCAGACGCAGGATATATATGTGTCTGTACAAAAAAGATTTTGAAATATAACTTACCCCTTGCCTGCACCATGGCTATTTCATTGGTGACATAGTCATATCTGATAACCAAGTTACACTGCTGAATGTCTAAACCTTCTTCAGCCACACTTGTTGCTATGAGAAGTTTTGTGTTGCCATCTTTAAAGTACTTTAAGATGTCTACTTGCTGGTTTGGAGTCATTCCTACAATACACACAAAGTGTATTAAAAATGGCTGCAGCTGGTTCAGTTAATGTACAATAATCATAAGGAGTATATGTGCATGCCTATGCTCAAGACCTGCATGAGTTTATTTTTTTATTTAAAAGATGTATAGTTTCCTTTTTATACATCTTCAAACCTCCCCCTCTCCAGACAGTCATGCATACATTAGAAATTTATTTGCTCCTCTAAATTTTAAGTAATTCAACAAAATTACCAGTACAGCCAAACTAAATGTATATGTGTGACCTTGTGCAATTAAATACATATTTTTTATGTATTGGCATGATATATTGAGTGACTTGGTAAACATGTTCTGGTTAAATACACACTCTAAACTAGAGGATCAGAGAGGCGATACCGCCTCCGGATATTGTACCACCAGCTGGAGTAAGCGCATTCGTATGGACCCCCCCACCCCTCCAAAAAGGGACACCATCACCAGTCTTGTGCTTGACAAGCTCTATAAGATGCAATCAATAAGAGTTCTCAAAATGTGCAAAAAAATATAACTAAAAATGGTATAATCAAGCAGATTTTCGAATTGACTTGCATTTTCCTACCCTTGATCACTCCTGTATTCTCTAGACAAAAGGCCTATTGGTTTTCCTTGAAAAGTGTTGTCAATGGTGCATATATGCTGACAAAAGAGAAAACCTAGGGGCAACAAGGGGCACATCTCTGCTAGTTTTAAAGATATGAGAGGCAAGAAAATATGCAAAGCTCAGTTCATGGTGAAAAAGTAGGTCAAAGGTCAATTTCAATATCATAGTATATGAATTTCTATTCAAGTTCAATAG